CGCCGATCGATTTCTCGGCACGTCTCGAAAAATATCGTCATGAATCTCGACAGGTCTCGCTTTTTGGACATCATGTGCAGCGGAGTCCATCCGTCCTTGTCGCCCAGATTCGGATTAGCGCCCTTTTTTAGCAGTAATTCGATCAAGTCTCTGAGATCGTATTCCAGTGCCAAGTGCAGTGGTGTCCGGCCCAACTTGTCGCGAGCGTCGACCTGCACTACATTATTGAGTTCATCATTGATCTCAAAAAATAGCTTCACGAATTGATCATAATCATCGTAAAAGTCATCATCGGCTTTTATTCTGTCACAAATAATATGCAGGGGCGTCGATCCATCCTGGTCAGCTAAATTTGAGTCGGCACCTCTTCTCAGCAGTAATTCGGCCACCTCCTTGCGTCCTTGGAACAGAGCCAAGTGTAGCGGTGTGTTGCCCATCTCGTCCAGGGCGTCGATTTTAATCGACTGTTGCAGCTCGTTGTTAACCTCAAAAAATATCCTCGCTATGTCAATGTTTAGCGTCTCACCGATGATGTGCAGAGGAGTCGATCCCTGCATGTCGATCAAGTTAGGATCGGCGCCGTGTCTCAGTAACAATTCCATGATTGACACGTTGTTATATTCCAAAGCCATGTTCAGTGGGGTCCGACCCATATAGTCCGAGGCGTTAACGTCAACTACCTGATCGGCTTCGTCGTTTATTGATTTGGCGCCTTTTCTCAGCAGAAGTTCGACCACCTTTATGTGGTTACCATACACAGCCAAGTGTAAAGGTGGAGAAATATTCACTGCGTCAGATTTTTTTGACAGAAAATGAATATCCTGACCAAACTCGAGAAATTTCTCGACGACGTCGTCGCAGCCGGACGCGCAGGCCGCGTGAAAATGCGTGTATCCAAATTTGTCGATGTAATTCACGTCGTACCTGTCGTATATTTGAAAAAGGATCGGTACTATGGCGCAGTGATCGTTTCTAACTGCCCATTGCACCGCAGTCGTACGACACGACGATGGTTTGCCGTCTTTGTCTACCTCGGGCTCGTCTTTGTAGCCGGTGCGAGCCACAAAATCGATGAACAGTTGTCCTCGATTATTTTTTCTAGATACCCGCCAGTTCTTGACGGCCTCCATGAGAAGACGATCGATTTCGTCACTTCGAAATATCTCTCGGAGGTTAGGTAGTTGCTTCTTCCAACGAGGAATCAAGTCAACAAAACTATAAAAAAATCCGCATGCATTACTTTTGTTGACCTTCCCATTGTACTCTTCTCGTAAGCTCTTCAATTTCTCTAATTTTTCTTGACACACGTCGTCGGAATCGCCGTCATGCTTTTCGTCGTTTTCATCAATATAATATTTATCGTCACCAGGGTCTTCGTCGTCACTGGATAATATATAGTCGCTGTCATCGTGAAAAATATCGTATTCGTTACCAAATTCGTACATCGTTCAGCACAATCACACAAAATGCACCAGCTTAAAATTTGTAAAACTAATTTTCTTCAACGAGAATCCCTTCGGTAGTCGATACGAACTTCCTTTGTTTTACTCTGCGGACTGCGACGCCGTGACTTGCTGCGAAGTCTGAGAACTGAACGACTCGACTTGCGGCAGGCAACTGACAACTGCGTGGTGTGTGCCCCTCTCCTTCAGTATAAGCCGCCACGATTCTCAAATGCGAGGCGAGTCGAGTGGACGAGTCTCGCGCCAAAACAAAAATGTAAACACGTCGCAGCACATGAAACGAGATATGAAACTTATGCCCTTGATACCCATTACCTACGTATTAGTAATTAAATGAATGAATTGTCAACAACAATCTCACGCTGGTGGATCCATCGATGTTGCTCAGCATTAATTGACTAAATTGAATCGTAATAAATTGAGCATAATTGTCATCAGAATATTTCTTTGTTTTTGTTACTGTCCCATATTTTTTTACAAGTTTCGCAGAATCTTAAATTGAGTTTTTTTAAAAATAATAACTTGAATTAAATTTATTGTAGCGTTGCTATAAACTCAACAACACGGTTTATTTTACTAATTTTATTAACATGTTCTGAAATTTAAATTTGATACATGATAAGAACTTGCATATAATATATCTAAAAATGAGAAAATAAATGGGAAATTCCTTGATTTTGTTGCCTGAAAAAAAAAACGATAGACAGTTAAAAAAAAATTGATGACAATTAGTAGTTAGAAAAATAAACAAATGAATGATTATACCTCTGCGATCGGTACCAAATATGTTGGCTCTATTTGTTCGCAACGATTTCTGCTGCCAGGCATATTTCATACAATTCCTCGTTTTTCAACTGGTCGATGATTTTCTCGCAGCAGAGAATCGGTAGCTGGTAGTGCGTCAGCGGCAAAAAAAACTCTAGCGCCCATCGTCGCCAAAATCTTCTCGACATGATCTGGCACAGGCGTGTACAGCAAACTTGACGAGCCAATTCGATGCAACGAGGTCCTGAGATCACGAACTCGAAGCAGTCCATTGGCGAGATCAATTTTTCCACCTCGTCGGGTCGTAACTCGACCAGGTCGTAGAGCGACAGGTTCGGCCTCATCATCGATTCCTTCGCTTCGCTAGCTAATTCTTTGTCGCGCCAAAATTTCAGATGACACGATTCGTAGAACAATCCATGATAAGCTAATTTTTTCATGATTTTAAGGACATCGCTTCGGTCAAGAGCGTATCCTCTCTTCTCTAAACGTTCGCCGACGGCCAGAGCGCCGAACGTAAAGTCGTACTTGAAGATCTTGTCTTTTTTAAAAAATTTGAAAAACTCGTCAAAAAGAGTCTCATCCGGGAAAACGAAGCTCGACAGATCAGCGCCACGATCTAAGAGTATATCGATCATATCTGGCTTGAAATTTGCCACGGCCCACTGCAAAGGTGTCCAGCCTGATTTATCCCGGGCGTCGACATTCTCCAGCCGATGTTTATCTTCGCTGATCTCGAATAATATCGTCGCTAATTTCCCGTTCCTTTTCTCATACCACGGCACGTTAATTCTAGAACGGCAAATGACGTGCAGCGGGGTCGATCCCTCTGCATTGGGCGAAGTCGGGTCGGCACCGGCAACTAGCAGCAATTTCGTCACCTCTTCGTGTCCGGCAGCCAGAGCCAAGTGAAGCGGCGAATCGCCAGTTTGTGGCCAGATGCAATTGGGATCCTGGCCGAGCTCGAGGAATTTCTCGACGACGTCGCTGCAGCCAGCCATGCATGCCGCGTGAAAATGCGTCAAACCAGACTCGTCGGTATAATTGAAGTCGAATCTGTCGTATATCTTGAAGAGATAATCGACGAGATGAAAGTGTCCGAGTTTAGCCGCGTGATGTATTGCTGTGGTGCGACGCAACGATGACTCGCCATTTTGATCAGCGTCAGGCTCGTCTTTGTACCCAGTCCTGATGACAAATCTAATGAATGGAGATTTGTCATTATATACGCGTTCCGATATCTTGCTTTCCACGCTTTTTATAAGAAGCCAATCGATTTCTTTGGGCTGAAAAGTGTCTCGTAGATCTGGAAGTAGATCAAACCAATTTAAATGGTCGATTAAAGAGTTTAGTTGCCGAAGAAGTTCGCATCGCTCTTTTTCCACGTCCCAATTGACCTTTTCGCGTAAACCTTGAAAAAGTTCTAATTTTGTTTGGGGTGTTTTCTCGAAACGGTAGTCATCGATTTTGTTACGTTCAGGCGGTGTAATCGCCAAACCAAATCGACCGGTTGACGACGATTCTCTCTTCCCCCCGATGAAATGATTTTCATAACATTTGTTGCATCCAGACCGCGGTCTTGTCGAATGAAAACTAATATCCAATGGCAACAATTTTTCTTGCGGCTTGTTGTCGAAACCATTGAAGTCACTAACTTGATTGCTTTGAGGCTGTTGATTTGACCAACCAAAAAAACGAAATAGCCACATTGTCGTTTACACAACAAAAACGGGATAATAAATTGTTATCGTTAGCGAGTAAATATCAATACGCGAAAGTAATGTTAAAAAAATGGATTGTAACATCTGCTATGTTCAGATGAGATAAGCATAGGGTGTATATTATAGTTTCCTAATAAAAGAATGGTATTTTTATCGAAATTTATTTAAATATTTAAATGTTACGACTAACAATTTCGTTCACTATTTGTGTACTTGGACGTGTGAATCCAGATTCACGTCGAATCTTTCGTATACACGGAATAGGTCTTGTTAGGAAATTTTGGTTGCCTTGAACCATTGTTGGTTGTACACACCCACATTCATTAAAATTGATATACATCCCAAAAATTATTAACTGGACTCGACATGATCTTTCTTCATACGTTGTTGCGTCGTCAAATGTCACTGAACTACACAACTCGACATGCGGCTCAGCACTGCTAACATTCTCGAGACGAGCCGAAATTCTCACTCAAGCAAAAACGTAAACAAATTGCACGACCTGCAGAACGATACATTTTTCACAGGGTAGACCCATACACCCGTTGAGTTGCCCTGCAGTAAACTCAGTCAGAGTGCAAATAATTCCCTGCCATGAACGTCAATTTTTACTTTTTTTTCAATTTCTCTTTAAGCAGCTTTTGATGCTTATAATATGCATATAATATTATATGAATAATTTACAGGATTTTACTGAGAGCTTTGTAAAATAGGATTGTATAATAATAAAATTATCACAAGTAATTGAATGTTTTTGACATGATATAAAATGATGAAAAAGAAAATAGTTTGTCTGAACGTAACAAAAATGATTACCTTACAGTTAACAATGAGCTCTGGCAAGCCAATTTGTTGATTTCGCATTGAGTTCACCCGACATTTCTGCCTCAATTTTATAATATTATAATTTACTCAAAGAAGTATTTTTTCAAATTCATATGGATAACTAATGAATTACCTGATTATTTTTTTAAAATAAAATGCTGAATACTCATTGTATCTCAATAATTTTATATCTATGGAATAAAATTTTTATTTGACACATAATGATAACACAGCGCACTAACAAACATATTTTTAACATTATTAACCGTGAATTAACTATGAAATTCCTTGATGTCCTTGCCTGAAATACAATAATAACAAAAAATTAAAAAATAGTAATAAAAAACTATAATTTGGAACAGTTGAAAAAAAGTTAAAATACCTTGGCGAACGCAATCACATCTTTCAGCTCTGTCCGTACGCATAGATCTCTGCCGCAAGGCATACTTTCAACAAATCCTCGTTCATCAGATTGTCGACGATTATCGTGCAACAGAGTATGGGCAGTCGGTACCTCGTCAGCGACCAGAAAGCATCCAGGGTCCAGCGGCGAAAAAAACTTCTCGACAGTATCTCGCACAGGTACGTGTCGCAGCCGAGCACTCTGGGCAGCTGGCCGTACTTGTAATCCGTTCGCTCGAAGCCCAGGTAATCGGCGATCGTGAACGACTTCACGGCCTGCTCCAGCGGCAGATTGATCAGGTCGTACAGCGACAGACTGGAGTTCATCATCAGACTCTTGGCTTGACTGGCGAAAATCTCGTCGTTGCGCCCGTTCTCGAATCGCTCCGAGTCGACGAACAGCTCGCGCTTCGCGAACAGCTTCATGACGGTCAGGGCGTCGTTACGGCTCAGCTTGTAGCCTCTGCGCTCGAGACGCTCGACGACGTCCAGCGCCCGTGACACCAGTCGCAGTTTCGACTTGATCCACAATTGCGGGTAGTGCGAGTCGAACTCCTCGCCGAAGTAGCCGTCGCTGGGAAAGACGAAGCTGGCCAGATCGGCGCCTTGATCCAGCAGCGCGTCCACCACGTTCGGAAAGAGACTCGCCACGGCCCACTGCAGCGGTGTACGGTCCAACTTGTCCACGGCGTCGATCTCCACCCGTCGATCGATTTCTCGGCACGTCTCGAAAAATATCGTCGTGAATCTCGACAGGTCTCGCTTTTTGCACATCATGTGCAGCGGAGTCCATCCGTCCTTGTCGCCCAAATTCGGATTGGCGCCCTTCTTCAGCAGCAATCCGATCAGATCCTCGTGGCCGTACTCCACGGCCAGATGCAGGGGCGTCTTTCCCAGGTGATTGGCGGCGTCGATCCGCACCTCGCGATTCGTCTCCTCGTTGATCTCGAAGAACGCGCGCAAAAAGTCGTTGTTGTTCCTGTGGCAGAGGATGTGCAGAGGCGTCCAGCCGTTGTTGTCGGCCAGATTCGGATCGGCGCGGCGCCTCAGCAGGTAGGCCGCCGTCGCGCGCAGATCCCGGGCCACGGCCCACTGCAACGGCGTCCGGCCCAACTTGTCCCGCGCGTCCACCTGCAACATCCGCTGCTGCTCGTCGTTGATACGGAAAAACGTCTTGACGAGCTCGGCGTCGTCGCGCGTCCACTTGCAGACGACGTGCAGCGGTGTCCAGCCGTCGTGGTCGTTGACCGCGTTCGGGTCGGCCCCGGCGCGCACCAGCAGCTCGGCGACCTTGGCGTGGCCGCGCAGCACGGCCCAGTGCAGCGGTGGCGCGAATCGCGTCGAGCCCACCCGCTCCGCCCGACACTGCGGGTCCTGGCCGGCCTCGAGGTATTTGCGGACCAGGTCGTCGCGGCCCAAGAAGCAGGCCGCGTGAAAGTGCGAGAAGCCCGTCTCGTCGGTGTGATTGACGTCGAAACGGCCGTAGATCTCGAAGAGGTTATGGATGACGGCGTGGTGATCGTGCGTGGCGGCCCAGTGCAGCGCGGTGGTGGCGCGACGCGACCGAGACAGATCGGGCTCGGGCTCGTTCCTGTAGCCGGTGCACGCGACGAACTTGATGAACACTTGGCCGCGATAATTGTACCTGGATCTCTCGTAATTCTTCGCCGCTTGGAGAAGTAGACGCTCGATCTCGTCGTCGCGAAACACGTCGCGTAGGTTAGGTAGTCGGCCCTTCCAATCCTTGACCAGGGGATAGAGCCGGTCGAGCAGCTCCAGTCGATCGAACTCGAAGTCCCAATTTCTAACCTCGTCCCGTAGGCTCTTCAATGTTTGCAATTGCGCTCGACACGCTTCGTCGTCGTCGTCGTCGCAGTCGGTCATGGTCCAATTTTTCAGGAGCCTCTCGCGATAAAGATAGTCGCCCGCGCTGGACCAGTCGACGGAGTCGTACACACAGTCGTAATGTCCCGACATCGTTGTGCGCACGATCACTCGCGCGATTCGTAAAATTAATTTTTTCTTTTTTCACGAGAGTCTCTGCGCTCGTTGCAGCAGACCCCGCACGAAATGTGATCGAGGCGATCTTTCTTTGTTTACTCTCCTCGGCGTGGCGTTGTCTGCAGTGAACGACTCGACGCGTGGCGCGGCAATGTCAGTCTGCAACTGCATACGGAACTATTTTAATACTCGCTGAACACAAAACGTGACGAAAAATTGTTAGGCTGCTATGTTACGTAAATGCATCGATAATTTTGTAAATATAATTGTAGGTATATAATAATATAATAAATTATGACCGCTTAATATTTAATACATCTAATACGAACGAATATAAAAATAAGAAAATTTGAACCTAATGAATAATTGAAAACGAGCTTGTGCAAACAGATTTATCGATTTCGCATCACTCAGTGATAATTGGCGAATGAAAATAGGAAAAGAGTTAAGAAACGATCAGGCGATCGTAATTTTACGTATCAATAAACCAAGCTTACCATTTACTTCAGACGTTTCTTCGCGCTTATTTTATATCGCACGATTTTCTGCAACGAGTGGATTTTTTTAGTCGATGTAGTGTAGTTACATTATTTGTTGAAGCGTAAATATAAATAAGCCATTAGCTTTTCTAAAATATTTTTTCAAAGCTCAATCAGTTGCTTCATAGTTGCACATTTAAAAATACAATTTATCTCGTTAATTTTATTTCCATGTAATGTAAGATTTTCACTTGACCAGTCAACTGCGCGTTATTTCCTTTTTTTTTTCATTTCTTGAGAGACACGATTTATTATGATTCGCACGCTTTTACCGAGACCCCCGTAAGATATATTTTCATAATTGGATAGGAAGGATTAAATGAGTAGGATAAAATATAAAATTATCACAAAAATAAAAAATTATTTAAATAAAAATGTCCCCATTCAATGTATTAATAATGTAAAGTGAAAGTTAACGACCAGTTGACGCAGGTAGATTCATTAATTTTACATCACTCCATTTAATTGGCAAATGAAAATATGCAGTAAGAACTCGCACCAGTATTTTTCGCATAAATAGAACGAGTAAAAATACATTTCCATTTTGATATGTTAAATATGCAGTATAAAATTAAATTAGTATTATTAATTATTGTTTCTTTCGATTCAAAGAGGCTATTGGCTATTACAATAAAAACAAGAGTCCTATTTGCTATTTAAATGCTGTATAAGCTGCAGCGTACAATTTATTTAATTAATTGAATCATTTATTTTTAACGTGATAAAATTTTGTATTGTCATACAATGAAAATCTAGCACGAAAACAAAAATATTTCAAGATCGATAAAAACAATTTTAAAAAATTCGAAATTCATTAATTTCTTAGTCTGAAATAATAAACATAGAATCAGTAAAAAAACAAAAATTGCAAACTCGAGCGAGAAAAGAAAAATTAAAAAGTACCTTATTATTTATTCAAAAAAATGTATCTGTAAAATTCTCGGGGCCATCGCTGGACGAATCCGCTCGTCATTATCTCGCACAGGTACAGGGCGCACGGCTCGTGATCGCTCAGCAGCTTATGCCAATCCTCCGTCGAGTCGTCGTACCTCGAGAAGTCCGCCGCCTCGAGCAGTACCTGTTCCGCCTCGTCGAGCGGCAACAGCAACAAGTCGTGAAGGGACATAAGCGGTCCGAACGTCGTTCTCTTCGCCTTCTTCGCGAAACGTTTGTGGTGACGCAGATAGGCGTCGAGGTCGAAATCCGCACGGAACAATCCGTGCTGGTGGAAGAATTTTATGATCGTCAGGGCGTCGCTGGACTGGAGCTCGTAGCCTCTCTTCTCGAGACTAGCGACGATGCTCAGAGCGCGAGATACCGATTTCAACGGGAAATCGTCCGTATCGAATCCCTCGGCGAAGTAATCCTCGGTGGGAAAGACGAAGCTGGACAGATCGGCGCCACGATCCAAGAGTACATCGACGCTTTTCGGCTGGAGATTCGCCACGGCCAACTGCAGGGGTGTCCTGCCCCGCTTGTCTTTCGCGTCGATCGTCACCCGCTGATGTCTCTCGTCGTTGATCCGAAAGAACAGCTCGACGAAGTCGTCGTCGAGGTATCTCCGGCAAATCTCGTGCAGCGGAGTCGAGCCGTCGGCCTCGTTGGCCGCGTTGGGATCCGCGCCGTGTCTCAGCAGCAGACGGGCCACCTCGTCCCGGCGACCGGTCAGAGCCAGGAGCAGCGGCGAGGGGCCCTTTTCAGGGGCCACGTTGGGATCCACCCGGCCGAGTCGCAGAAATTTCTCCACTACGTCGCGACAGCCGGCCCGGCAGGCCAGATAAAAGTGCGTCAGGCCGTCCTCGTCGCAGTAATTCGCGTCGTACCTGTCGTAGATCTTGAAGAGCTCGACGACGGCCCGATTATCGCCGAGTCGGGCCGCGAGATGTATCGGCGTGGTGCGGCGCAGTATCGGCCTTTCGTCCTCGTCCAGCTTGGGCTCGTCCTTGTAACCGGTGCTGATCACGAACTCGATGAATTTTCTCGCCGGAACTCGTTGGTCGGGTTCCTCCTCGTCGTGATCGAACATGAGACGCTCGATCTCGTCGTCCTGGAAGATGTCGCGGAGCGAGGGGAGTCGGCCCTGCCAATCGGTGGCCGAGTGGTCGAGCAGGCGATAAATTTCGCGTCTCGATTTTTTCACGTTCCAATCGATGCGCGCCCGCAGGAACTTCAACAGTTTCACTTTCTCTTGGAAGGCGTCGAGGGATTCGTCGCTAGTGCTAACTTCGCGACTGAATTTGCTGCTGTCGTCGCGATAACTTTCGGAACCGGCCTCGGCGATGGCCTCTAAAACATGTCGAATTACGCGATCCTTCTTCGTTGATCGCTCTTGTTCCGAACCATCATCGGAAGAATCGGAAGAATCGGAAGAATTGGAAAGATACCAAGGAAGATTGAAAGGACTATTAGGGAAGCGATCGTAGAAGTTAATTCGTCGTTCTAGTTCGATCACCTCGTCGTAATAGTACTCCACACCATGTCGAGTATATATGTTCTTACGTTTTTTCCAAAATTCGACATCTCTGCCATTGCTCTCGTGTCCTCTGTGATCCGTAGTAAAACCATAGTCGGAACTAATGTCAAATGATGAAAGTAATGACAAATCGCCGGACATTTCGGGAGTACTCTCGAGCTCGTAACTTAGTCTTCGAAATTTTTACTTTCGCACGAATTCGCTCTTTGTTTACGCCGTGGCGCGTCGAGTAACGCGTGTATATAACTGGCGATTTCTCGCACAAATGCTCGATACGAGTCGAGTCGAGCGCCTATAATTTAAGCGACAATAATGTAAACATGTGATTTAAATTTATGATTATTGCCAGCTATATATCTGTGGTGGAAAGGGCTAACGAGATAACTCCATTTTTTTTGAAATCGAGTTTATGACATGAATTACCTATATGTTATGTCTACTTTAAAGGTACAAGTGTCACAAAAGCTGAAAAGAGCACCTATCGTTCAATATAACACCGTGCCTAACGAGATAAGTTCATTTTGCTGCAAATGATTCCGGGCCAAACGAGATAAGTCCACCTTTGCGAGCTCCAAAATACGATAAAAAGTCTACTTTGATTTGAAAATGGAAGAAAATGATATTCGAACATACAAATGGCTCTCACACTCTTCGAATGTTGTGAATTTCACTATACAGTTGGTACATTTGATACACGAGGGGCCATTTTCGCAATTTTCAGTGTGGCCTTTTTTCGTTGCAAGATTTGAGATCTGACACCAGTATAACGTTAAATGAGCTATTTTATCAATGTTAAATCATTAAGTGAGGCTTTGGTCACAAACTAAGCGAAATTATCGATATTGAAAAAAGTGTGACCGCTAAAAGTGGACTTATCTGCTAAGCGGGGAAAGGGCTAACGAGATAAGTCCATATTTTTTGCTCCGTATCTATGATGCGTCTTTTAATTTCACAAGTACATAGTTCAAAAGATACCTCATAATAGGTAAAAATATCATAGGTACAGATCTTTAGTCGTCCGCGTCTAGCTAGGCCCTTGGGCGCAACTTAAAACGCGTTTTTCTCGAAAACACGAAAAATGGAGTTATCTCGTTAGCCCTTTCCACCACAGATATATTATATATGCTGATCGATATCTGTTTAGTTATTGTTCAGTTTTGGCATGAAGGGCGCGACTGTGTCGGGTGCTTGATGGGAGAATAACGGTAAGAGATGTTGTTTTTGTGCGTATCGCCTCGGTACTCGATCGAACTGCTCGATCGAAACAGTCGAAGTTAGACCCTGAAAGCTCATCTAGATCTCGACCCAGTCGCGCGTCACTCGCTCTTACGCCAACTAGTAGTCTCGAATTACCGACGAGAATTTTCATTAATAAAGTTAATTATTTTTTTGTCAACGACTTGGCTAAGCGAATAACTTATTATCCTTACACGGAAAATTTGGTAGCAGAGCGGGTGGTTTATTTATTCATTTCCTATTTTTCATTTCTTGAGAGACACGATGTATTACGATTCGCATGCCTTTACCGAGACCTTTGTAAGATATATTTTTATAATTGGATAGGATTGAATGAGTATAGGATAAAAGTTAAAATTATCACAAAAATAAAAAAATTATTTAAATTCACATCAATAAAAATGTTCCCATTCAATGTATTAACAATGTAAAGTGATAATTAACAACGAGTTCGCGCTGGTAGATTCATTAATTTTCCATCACTCCATTTAATTGGCAAATGAAGATGTGCAGTGAGAACTCACACTAGTATTTTTTGCATAAATAGAACGAGTAAAAATACATTTCCATTTTGATACGTTAAATATGCAGTAAAAAATTAAATTAGTATAATTAAGTATTGTTTCTTTCGATTCAAAGGTACAATTCGGAAAATGATTTTCTATCATTCTCGAAAATGAAATTTTTTTAAATTTTGGAGACCGCCGTTTAAACATCGTTAGAGGCCCGAAGTCGAAGTTTTCTACAGATGACAAAAAAGTCTTTTTTCTTATTTTCGTTAATCAACATCTTCGATGAAATATTTTCTGCAATTTTTTCAATAAAAAAAGCAAAAGTCTTAATAAAATAGGTACCCACATAATATGAAAGCTTCCCGTGAAATCTTTCAAGAAAGTTTTCCATGAAAGATTTCAGAAAGTTTCCAGAAAGTTTTTTTTTATCTTCCCAGCAGCATACAGGAAAAGCTTTCATAAAATCTTTTCGGAAGTTTCCCGAAAGGTTGCAAGAAAGATTTCACAGAATATTTTTTGAAGGTTTCATCAAAACGTTTGGGAAGCTTCCCTAATCCTTCCCGGGATGCTTTCATCAAACCATTATAGAAGCATCAATAAAAGCTTGAAGAAAGCTTTACGGAAACTTGTGAGGGAATTTCAGGATGCTTTTTAGAAAGTTTTCATGGATTATTTCGCAAAGTTTTCTGAGAAGTTACAAAAAATGTTTCTCAAATTATTTTTTTGAAAGTTTCATTTAAAATTTCAGGAAGCTTCTCTAATCCTTCCAGGGATGCTTCCATGAAACCATTCTAAAAGCATCAATAAAAGCTTGAAGGAAGCTCCACGGAAACTTTCGAGAAACTTTCAGGAAACTTTCCAGAAATATTCCATGAAAACTTCTTAAAAGTTTTCTGAAAGGTTGCGACGATGGTTTCATAGATTTATAAGTGAGCGTTTCATTGAAGCTTTCAGGAAAATTTATTAAAAATTTTTATGAAAGTTTTCTGAAAGGTTATTTCGAATGTTTCAGTGGAACTTTCAAAAAGCTTCCTAGATACTTCCGAACAAGTTTTTAGCTTCATAAATCGCCAACAGGTGGCGTATACATAAATTTATCGAGCTCACAAGTGGGTAATAGGAAATTTTTATACAAGTACTCCTCTCCTCCTTGACTGCTAATTTGTAAAGTTGTTTGGGGGTCTTCTTGTACATAATAATGAAGCCCCCTATGGTTACTTCATTCCAATGGGCCCTGGAAACCATTATAAAGCCCATATAATATAACATAATGTTTAAAATACCACTGATTGGTATCAGGCCTTGTACGGTCAAGTCTAACTGTCTCAAAAATATTTGTACATGAACTTTTGTGGATTCTAAATACTTTTGCAAATGATAAACAATTGAACTCAATTGGTTTGCTGTGTATGTTTTAAAGAGCGCACCAATTTGAGCTAAAATTAACGTACCAAACAATAAATATTGATGTAAATAATATGAAAATGATTTTTATTTGTATAACTCACATATCCCTTCTCTTCACCTATTCCTGACACTCATCTGGAGTGAATTTACATGTTTTGAGGGCCAGAAATAGGTGATAAAGAAAGAACAGTAAGTTTTATAAATGAAAACATTTTTACATGATTTAATATAAATATTAGTTGATAAATGCATAAATTTTAGCTTGAATTGATTCGCTCTTTGAGAATTTCAGTAAACCAATTGAGTTAAATTGTTTATTGATTGAAAAGGTGTTTTGGACTTTAAAAACTCAAAGTATAAATACTTCTCAATCAGTTAAATTTGACTGTGTAAACATGATATTATTATACGTTTATATAAGGTATTTTATACATTATATTATATTATATTATAATATAATAGGATATGTTAATCTGTGAACTTTAGGATAAATTAATTATCTCATTCGTAATTATCAACCTCGGCTTCGTCTCGGATAATAAATTACATGTGCTCTGAGACTTTCCAGTTTTTCACTCCCTAGGTGCAAAGTATACTATTTGAAAACCTTTCAAATGACTTTCAAGAAAGGTCTCTGAAAATTTTCATGAAATCTCTTAGGAATCTTTCATGAAAGCTTTCTGAGACCATTTGGGCGCGGACATTTTGAGCTTCTTGAAAGCTTCCATGAACGCTTCCTGGTAGATTCCAAAACTTTCTTGGAAACTTCCGAAATACTTTCAAGAAGCTTTCATGGTATGTGGGTAGTATCTTTTTAGAATGAAAACAAGAATCCTATTTGTTATTTAAATGCTGCATAAGTTGCATCGTACAATTTATTTAATTAATGAAATCATTTATTTTTAACGTGATAAAATTTCATATAGTCATACAACGAAAATCCAGCACGAAAACAAAGATATTCCAAGATTGATAAAAATAATTTTAAAAAATTCGAAATTCTTCAATTTCTTAGTCTGAAATAATAAACATAGAATTAGTTACAAAAAAATAATGGCTAATTCGAGCAAGAAAAAAGTATTTCATTATTTATTCAAGAATATGCATCTGTAAAATTCCCGGGGCCATCGCTGGACGAATCCGCTCGTCATTATCTCGCACAAGTACAGGGCGCACGGCTCGTGATTGCTCAGCAGCTTATGCCAATCCTCCGTCGAGTCGTCGAACCTCGAGCAGTCCGCCGATTTCAACGGGAAATCGTCCGTATCGAATCCCTCGGCGAAGTAATCCTCGCTGGGAAAGACGAAGCTGGACAGATCGGCGCCACGATCCAAGAGTACATCGACGCTTTTCGGCTGGAGATTCGCCACGGCCAACTGCAGGGGTGTCCTGCCCCGCTTGTCTCTCGCGTCGATCGTCACCCCCTGATGTCTCTCGTCGTTGATCCGGAAGAACAGCTCGACGATGTATCTCCGGCAGACCTCGTGCAGCGGAGTCGAGCCGTCGACCTCACTTTCTCTTGGAAGGCGTCGAGGGATTCGTCGCTACTGCTAACTTCGCGACTGAATTTGCTGCTGTCGTCGCCATAACTTTCGGAACCGGCCTCGGCGGCGATCTCTGAAACATCGCGAACGACGTGGTCCTTCTTCGTTGATCGTTCTTGTTCCGAATCATCACTCGTAGAAATTAATTCAAGCATTCTATCAAAATAGTCATCATCGGTGTAGTCATCAAAACCACCGTCGCAAAAATCGAAGACGTCCATTCGTTGTTCTATTTCGTACAAGTTCCCGCAATGGTGGTTCCCGACGCTCAGTCGAGGCCTTTTTTCCTCCGATTTTTTCTTCAGTTTTTCCCAAAATTCGACATTTTTGTCAATGCTCTCGCGTCCCTCGCGAACCGAAGTAGAACCATCGTTGGAAATATCATCGACGTGGTCGGCCATTTCTGGAGTACTCTCGAGCTCGGAACTTAGTCTTCGAAATTTTTACTTTCACACGAATTCGCTCTCTGTTTACGCCGTGGCGCGTCGAGTAACGCGTGTATATAACTGGCGATTTCTCGCACAAATGCTCGATACCAGTCGAGTCGAGCGCCTATAATTTAAGCGACAATAACATAAACATATGATTTAGATTTATGATTATTGCCAGCTATATATATAATATATACTGATCGATATCCCTTGGTTATTTGCTGCAGAAAGGGCGACCGCTCGGGCCTCGATCACTTGAACTTCGCCCACAATCACAATCATCACAACAACAACAGCAACAGCTACAACAACGACAACAACAACAGCATCAACAACAACCTCGGCAAACAGCAACAGCAACAAAGATGGTCCAAACGAGCCTTCCAGCGTCGCAGCAGCGAGATCGAGGTGCGAGCCCATCATCGCCAACAACAGCAGCAGCAACTCTCCTCCGCCTCGGGCACGTCGGCCGGTGGCAGTGGCTTCGACGGCGGTCCTAGATCACCCACGCCGTCGCGTCGACGCAGCTCCAGCATCGCCGTGGCCCGACCGACGCCCGATCTGCATCGATTTCTCCAGGCTGAGGGTGGCAGGCCCTGGGGCCACCTGTCGCCCCAGCCGCGCAGCCCGAGCCGCACGCCGAGCTCGGTGTCGCCGGCCTCGCAGCATCTCAGTCCCGCCGGGCCCTGCAGTCCGGCCTGTCCCAGTCCGACGAGTCCCGGCGGCGCGACGACCAACAACGCCGCGGCGGCGTCGACGTCGAGATTGCCACCGAGGCAGCGCGGCAGGACGAGCAGCATGCCCGCCGTACCGAGGCACAGGGTGAGTAGTACGTACAAAGTATACGCGTGAAATTCGTATAAAAAAAAATAACTGCGACGACCGAGAAAAATGTTGCAGTGTTAATATTTTTCTCTCTCTCCCTCGTGGCACACAGGTGCCTCTTGTGCACGCAGGTCCATTCCGTATGTACGTGTACATACGTTTTTTTTTACGAGTTTTTTCAGACGCGCGCGAAAAGTTCCCGCCAAGAAAGAAAAAAAAAAAAGAAGAACGTAATAACGTCGAGTTTACGACTTTGGAGTGGCGAGGCAGTAATTACTGCGGCTCGTTGCTGCTGCTACTATAGATATATAACACACATATTCTTATACGTACACGCGCTTAAAACCTTCTTTTCCACCCTCTCCGCTTAATGCGACGAGCAGCTCATCTGCCTCGTTTTAGCTCTTGAATTCTTTCTCCCTCTTCACACAGGCATCTTCTACTTCTCTCTTTTTTTTCTTTCTTTTTTTTTTACAGCATCGCGAACTAATTAGAAGAAACGCTCAAAGTTCGATTCGAATTAGCTCTCGCTATCAAAGAGTATATAAGCGCGGCGACTCGTATACACGGCGGAAAATAAATCGGAGAACGAACGAAGAAAATAAAAAAAAAAAAAACAGCTCATCGGCATGCAAATGCCCGAGAGCTCGTTCGAGCGATCTCCTCGATTTTCTTCCTCGCTGAAGAGGAAAAAGTGTAACGTTTTTTTTTTGTCGAGAGTAAGAAGATGCTTAAATTGACATGCGACATGCGACAGCGAAGAGCGAGCTTACGTATACATAACTCATGAAATTCAAAGAGGGGGATTAGATCGTTTGCTCTCTCTCTTGCCTGCGGGGCTTACAAAATGCATCCTTTTATTTTATTTCGTTTTATATTATTATTCTTCGTTCGTTCTTTCCAATTTTTTGCATATAAAACCCGCGTGGGCGGACACAAAAGAAATACGAGGGGTAGAGTCAGTCACGTAACGCATCGAAGACAAAAGAATAAAATAAAATATATCGCAATGATTTATTCAATCGCACAATGGACGACGTCGACATCTTTTTTCGGTTCGTTTCACGCATTCGCTTCTATCATATGTATAAATATATATAACACGAAGCCGTGAATCGTCGTCGTCGTCGTCGTCGTCGCTTCCCTTTCTCAAGCCTCCATCTCGATGCCCAGGCCGAATTTGTGATTGCCGTGGGTCGGATTCGTGCAGTCCAGACTGAAGGCCAGCGTCAGCTGGGCGTTCTCCATCGGTTTGAGCTGCAGACTCGTGGCCAGATTGAGGCCCCGGTCCATCTTCACCCGTAGCTTGGTGGTGTCGTCGAGCTTCATGGCGAGGCCGGCGCCCATCGTCCACAGGGTCGCCACCTCGTTCTTGGCCATCTTCGCGTCGAACGCCACGTTCAGGTTCTCGTTCACTGCGAATAAAGATTAAAATCCGTGACCTTGTCGTTTCAACGAGTCTATTTTTGGTGCTGCTGCTGCTGCTGCTCACCTCTGTAAAGTCCGGACAGGCCGATTTCCCGGGGTATCTGCAGGCAGCGCAGATGAACAGCCACGTTGTCCACGTCCATGACCACGGCGACGTTGTTGCGCGTCACCCGCGACGTGTTGGTGTCGAAGCCGCTCTGATAGCCCACGAGGAAGTTCTGCAGCTTGACCACCGCCGAGCCGACCAGGTCCGGGCTTCGGTCCGAGTCGATTGCTGCCGAGACGAAAAAAAAAAAAAAATAGATTATCTCGTTGGAACTTTTTACTTATTTGTTTTAATACTCACTGACGCCGCAGCCCGCGTGCAGCATGGAATTGTGAAACTTGGTGACGAGACTGACCGAGTGAAACGAGTCGGGCACGTTGTAGGAGACGCCGGCGCTCACGTCCACGGCCTCGTGCACGACCCCGTTGAGGCTGTACTCGCCGACGAGGGGACCCGCGTTCGAGTACTTGGCCATCAGGTTGCCGTAGCCGTCGGTGTTGTACTTGGTCGACAGTCCGCCGACGGTCTATATGAAAATTTACGTACATATTTACATTATACACGTATTGAAAAAAAAAAGGTTATGAACCTTTTGACTGCTGAAGTTGAAGTTGCCGTCGATCTCGGCCTTGACGTCCTTGATCGGCTTGCCGATCTTGAACTTGAACAGGTCGAAGGCGAAACCCGTCGAGAAGACATCCTTGAAGGCTCGCCCGAGATCGCAGTAGCCTGGCACGCTCATAATTTGGCAGCAGCAGCAGCAGCCCCCGAGAGCGAGTCTAAGATAAAGGGGACAAGGGGCACCTCCAAAAAAAAAAAAAGATCCACAACACTCGATATTACACACACGTTTTTCGTACCAAAAAATAATCCAAAAAAAAGGGGGGGATAAAGGTAAAAAAGGGTGAAAAAAACTGGTCAAATCGTCTCGAAATCGTGTACGACGCGCGGCGCCTCGGACGTCATGCCTGAAGTTGGCGCTGTCTCGCAACGACGACGACAACGAACATCAACAACAACGACGACGACGATGACGCAGAAAAAAAAGAAAACACGCGAACGCTGCCCGTTTTTACAAGTATATATATATAGAAAAAAATGTAGCTGTAGAGGGATGATGATGCGACGCGATCGACGTTTTTTCCATTTTTACCTTAAAGAGAGAGAAATTGAAAAATTGCATTCCTCGTGTATACACATACACACACACACAGCAACACACAGGGGGGCTTAATCGTCTAATGGACTGCACGTTGTTGCATCCGCGCGCGTTTTAGCTTTTTTTCGCGCGCCACGGCTACTACGGCCTTTTACGATCGATAAAAGGCGTTTATACGTACGCTATATGGTACAACAAAGTAAATAATGGAATGTGCATATACATACGTACGAACGCGCGTGTAAAAGTAAACCTGACATCTTCTCATTTTTCTCTCTCACTCTCATATAAATATATGCATTTTTTCTCTCTTTCACCTCTATAGAGCCCCGCGTCGAAACAATTCCGAATTAAAAAGTTGTAACGCGGGCCGCTGCTGAAATTGCGAGCTCTCTCTCTCTCTCGTTATTTTTCCGTGCGTACATTCGCGTCACGCTGAAAAAAAAATTTTTCATTATGGAAAATACCGGGGTTGTTGAGTGTAGGAGAGGAGCGAAGAAAAAAATTCCTCCGCCCATTGTGCGTGTATATACGTGTATATAATGTAATCCATCGCGTTTGTGCGTCGCATCGACGCACAAAAAAAATAAATGCGTACGAGAGAAAATAAAGCGGAAAGTGGTGTATATAGTATCGCATGAAAATTCAAAAAAAAAAAAAAAAAAATACCGACGCTTCGACGTTTTTAGAGTTGATCATCGATGCGCGAGAGCTTCCGTTTTACGTAACCAATGGAATTTTTAAAAACATTTATATGCGCGCCCCTTGGCCCTCCGGCCTTTTTCTGTCTATGTATATATAGAATCAAAGGGCTGCGCAGGTATGCGATGTATGTAAAACATACCTTGGAAGCCCGAAAGTCGAAAAATACATTACACGAGATCGGTCGAAGCGGTGGATATATATCGCAGCCAGTGATTTCGAGAAAATTTTAGCTCGATAGCAATTTTTCATATCGAGCTTTATAAATCGTACCGTGATAGTGATTTTTTGATGACTTTTTTTTTGTGTGTGCGTTATTCTTCTCGCAGCTTATCGCGCGCGTGCGCGAGCAGTGGCACGAAAAAAATAAAGTACAAGATAGGACGAAAAAAAAAGAATACAAATAATCCACTTATGAAAGGAGGCGCATCGCCGCGGGGGCAGTCACTTGTGTGTGTGTCCCCTATATAATGAATATATCTATACACACGTATACATACCCACAGTTGACATACATTTTTTAAACCGCGAGTAATGCGATTTGGAGTTCACTGCGTATATTACCTCACGTATAAATGTGTGTGTGTGGGTGCGGGAGCGAAGGTATGCTCGGGCGCACTGCACACTTAATTTTCCGCGTCGAGATCATCATTATTATTATTATATAAAGTATAAGGGTAGGGACGCGAGAGGAGGGTAAACTTCATTTAGCAGCTCGCGTATAATACGACCCTCTTTATTTCTTTTTTTTTTTTTAACTCTTTTTTTTGATGATTAAAACGTTTGCCGTAGGAATAATGGCCTTAAAAATGATAGCATTACATGCGAGCCGCGAATGAACTACGGGCCGGCGAGCCAAACGACCGCTATATCCGCGCATACACGCGAGAGGGCATAAACGAAATGTCTTTTGCTTTATTATGCTTTTATTCGAGATTTGGCTTGTTTTTTCGGACGACGTGAGACTCGTATGTTCACGCGTGAGTTTTTTTTGTCTCTTTATCGACTCGTGTGTTGCGTTTGGAAATGATTGAAAAAAAAAGAAAGGAAAAACGGCTGCAGTGAGAGGCTTAGTATTTTGTTCGAGTTCCGCAATGTACTTTTTTTCACGGCGATTCCGAAAAAAAGTAACGTTCACATTTTTTTTCGGAAAACAAAGTCAGCTTATGTTAATACAGATTTTTTGCTTTCGACTCCTTTTTCTCTCTTCATTCAGATGCTGTCTACGAATATTATTTTTCTTCGAACGGCAAATATGTATTTATGCACAAATCAGCTTTGTAAAACAGTAGTGTTAGCGGACATCAAAGGGCTGAATCTTTTTGATGTTCTTTAGCTGTGCATCTCACGTACTCGCGCGCTGACTATTGTCAGTTTGACGGATGAGATATTTTTTCGATGATCGAGTGGTTTTTTGAATGAAAAAAATCAAGACTTACTTTTATTCATTTATTTATTTATTTTATATGTTTCTTTGATAAACTGAACAGTCAATTGAATTTAATAACTTCGGACATTGAGAAATACGAGAAATGTACTATCTATTTCTCTCGACGCACGCTCAATCTGTGGCCGCCAGACAAATGCGATACAAATCTGCGTTATTTAGCTTCTCGATGACTTTTTCACAGCAACGAAACGGTAGTTCGTAGCGCGTCATCT